TCTGGGAGAGCTGATTGTTAAAAAAAGAGTGTACCATCTTCCTCCTCTCCCTTTTCGCTTCCTCTGTCACCATGTGGTCTGCCCATGCCAGCTCCCCTTCATCTTCCGCCACAAGTGGGAGCAGCCTGAGACCCTCACCAGAAGCTGATGCCGGTACCATGCTTCATATATATCCAGCAAAACTGTGAGCCAAAGAATTCCCTTTCCTTTATAAATGACCCAGCCTCAGGTATTCCTCTATAGCAACACAAATGCACTAAGACACTCCTGCTTCCTTTCATTAGCTATTTCAAGCTGAAAAACTATGAGATAGTTCCAAAAATTAGAGCAGGATCTTGTCATTGTGAACTTACAACTTTTCTATCTAAAGCAAAAGGTCCTAGCCCCAAACCATAATTGGAGAGATGCCTCTACTCAAACTTCATTACCCTTAAACTGCCCCTTCTCTGCCTTCCACTCCCCACTTACTCACTGAAAGACAAATGAGTTTAGGCTGGGCACAGTTAGCCATCATGCTCAGAAAAATGAAATCTTGCTGCTTGGTATTCTCACTGAGAATCTCTTTCCTTAGCTTATGGATCCCCCTACACAGATTCCTGACAGCTCACTGGGCCATAAACCCAGCCAGATTTTTGAGCTACATCTGCAGTATCTTTTCTACTCAGGCAGCTGGCATAAGGTGGGAAAATTCATTAACATGCTAATGATGTCCTATTTAAAATTCTAGCCCTGATTATTCTGTGATTAAATCTCTCCCCTTGATGTCGGTTTCCTTTATAGCTGAGCTACAGTGCGAAATCAACAATATTAATAAAGTACAATACAGATTACCAATGTATACACAAGGGATGGTGAAAAACAGCTACGTAAATCTGAGGGCTGTCTTTTTTTCTTGAAAAGCAGTTGTAGGCCTGGTGTGTTGGCTCACGTCTGTAATCCCAACACTTTGGGAGGCCGCAGCAGGTGGATCACCTGAGGTCAGGAGTTCAAGACCAGCCTGGCTAACATGGTGAAACCCCGTCTCTACCAAAAAAATACAAAAATTAACTGGGCATGGTGGTGGGTGCCTGTAATCCCAGCTACTCAGGAGACTGAGGCAGGAGAATCACTTGAACCTGGGAGGCAGAGGTTGCATTGGGCCGAGATCGCACCATAGTACTCCAGCCTGGGTGACAAGAGTGAAATTGTCCCAAAAAAAAAAAAAAAAAAGATGTGACAAATTGTAAAAGTTGCTGATTTTTTTTCATCCCTCCTTTCTTTAAAGAAACACACATATTGGAATCCACAATAATTAAATGTTTATAGTTAATTTCCATAAATATTCAAGGCTTAGAAGATTGATTTAGCTTTTCCTTCTATTTCACTGCACTTAGCATTGCTCAGAATTCAAATGCGTTATCCTGAAGTCTTAAAAACAGCTGACAGGAGTTAAAGAGCACTTCTTATCATCTCTTTATAGTGAATGTGTCTTGGTGACAAAAGCCAATGGATTTAGTGATGATGTCTGTCTCCCTTTGCCCCTGAGTACCTTGGCACATTTCAGTTCCTTTTCTATTATCATATTGTTCTGCCTGCTGACACTCCAATCTGAATATCTGACTCAGACAACTCAAGCATCTTCCAAGAAAGACAATCAAACTTACCACTACTCTCATTAATTTGGAAAGTGAATAAAGAAGCAGAAGATTCAAGGCCTGGATCTGCAATCTAAAATGCAGGAAGAAAGGGCTCATGTGTCATTTTAACATCTGACCCCAGTAAGTAAACAAATATTTGTGGTATAGTATATTTACTATTTTAAAAGACATCATGCTGGATACCAGAGCAGTACAGTGAAACCTGAAGACAATGTTCTGACCTCAGTGGACTCACAATCTAGCCAGAGACACAAGATACCAGGATATCTTAAGTGATCAGTGCAGCAAGTTCATCTCAGGTGAATCATTAGAGATACACTTCACCTCATTAAGAGGTCACTGTATGAGACACACTGCTAATTGTTCCCTAAGACTGCAAATCTCCCCTTTAGCTATGGAAACAGAACTCACGACTTCAGCAGGGCACATTGCTGCCCAGGGTGAGGACAGCTCCCAGCTCCCCTTGCAAGTAGCTGTTACCATACAACAAGGTTGAGGTGACAGGGATGTGGCCATAGCAGAGACGTGTGCAGATTTCTCAAAGGGTACTTAAACGGGATAGGTGAGCTCTCTTCCTTCTGCATTTTCTCTGACTGGACTTGGACATGCCTGTGGCTAGGTCAGCCAGGTTGGACTGAATGGTGCATATTGTGGGGCAGAGGAGAACAAAATAGAAGAGTCTAAGTCCCTGACAATCAGGGTGGCTTGTTCATCCATGAGTTGCCTTTTTCTCCCGAATGTTGCATTCTACAACCATTGTTGGAAATAAAAATCTTTTTTAAAAATACTACATATTGCTCATTTCTTAAATGGTTTCATTCTCTAAAACTAAAAAGAGTCATGGTACATACATGCACATGTGTATGTGCATAAGCACACGCTCCTTTGTACTTCCCCTGTATTTAAACTTGAACACAGAGCTCCCTCTGAATTTTTAACTCTCAAAACACAAAAATAGCTGAATATGGACTTTAGCCCAGTTTTATCACATTTTAATAAATAAAAGTTTCAATATATTCAGGTATTCATTATTTATTTGTTACTCACAACCCTAGATTATTAATTTGGTTCACCTAAAGCCAGCTCATCTCAAATTGGCTAAAAAAAAAAAAAAAACCAAGCATGTGTAAATCAACATATAGGGAAAAGGGTGGCTGATCCAGCAAAATCCAAGTGTGAAAACATAGAGGGGCTTCACAACAGTAATGAGCCATCTGCAATTTAGAACCATCCATAGTAACAATCTCTCATTCCATTTGTTTATGTTTTATTCATCATTTTGAAAATACTTAGTGAAGTGACAATGATGAGATTCAAAAAATACTGCATGGTCCTTTTTTAAAAAAGAGATATTAATGGTTTTCAAGAGCTCAACTGTTCAAATGAAAATACTGCCGGACTAAATTTGCTCAAATTTGTTCACATCTTCTTTATTCTTGGATATAACATATTCTTCATTTTGTGAAAAATTATGTGGTGATAACATGAGAAATTTTGTAGTTTTCATTGTTTATACATTTTAAAAATCAATAGCAGAAATCTACTTAAAATGTACAGTGCTCGCTAGGCACGGTGGCTCACGCCTGTAATCCCAACACTTTGGGAGGCCGAGGCAGGCGGATCACCTGAGGTTGGGAGTTCAAGACCAGCCTGACCAAAATGGAGGAACCTTGTCTCTACTAAAAATACAAAATTAGCCAGGCGTGGTGGCACATGCCTGTAATCCCATCTACTCAGAAGACTGAGGCAGGAGAATCACCTGAACTTGGGAGGTGGAGGTTGCAGTGAGCCAAGCTCGCGCCATTGTACTCCAGCCTGGGCAACAAGAGCAAAACTTTGTCTCAAAAAAAAAAAAATGTACAATGCTCATTCCTGTTATGACAGAGTAAACCAGGCTGCGGTGTCTTAGGTGAGCATGTTGTCATTCCTTAGTACTATAGTTATTTAGGCTCAAATGTACTGTCTCTAGTTACATATATGGCAAAAACAAGGCTTGACCTTTAAGAGTAAAAGAAAAAAAGATAAGCACTATTAAGCCAACTTAAGGGTATTCATTACAAAGAAGACAGAATGACTACTGAACATACTCTTTGATTCAAAGATTTCTATGAAGAAACCTCTCTACACAAATCAATAAGCCTTTAAAAGAAAATTTATGCATCCCAAAATGATGCATTTAACTTCAGCTAGCTGATTTTATGTCTCTCAATCTAGCTTATGAATACTAATCTTCATTTACTTCAATTTATGAAATATTTACAAAAGCCCTATTTCAAATCTGGTTCCCAGCCCCGTTCTTTTCTTATTTCTTCTTAAACAAGCATGCTTTGTAAAATACAGCCGTTTATTCATATGTATTTCTTTCATTTGTTTCATTTGTTTTAGTAAATGATGACATTTATTTAAGAACCATGATATGCTATATATGGCCCCTGACTTTTAGTTAGTTTCTAGGAGCAATGGAAAGGCAGGCATGTGCGTGCACGCGTGCACGCGTACACACACACACACACACACACACACACACACACTCCAGGATCTTTGTAAATTAATCTGCACCACTTAATCTGCCCAGGAGATAGATGTAATTCTTGTCATTTTACTGGTGCAGAAACAGGTTCTAGTATTTAATAAAGATTACATCTGAATTTGCTTTTAATGATTTCATTCTGCATATTAGAAACTGAATCATCAGAAACTCCTTACTTTTTTTAAGAAATGAGTTTATACTATCTCAATTTGCACTGAACCAGCATCTTCCGAGACTATCCCTCTGGGTGCAAATCTCAGAGTAACCTCAGTTACTCTTAACAACTGGAAAAGGAAAGAACACAAGAACACTTGAAGTCCTCCGACAAGCAGACACTTTGGCTAAGGCAGCATTTGCCTCTTCCACATCATCCTTCCTGGGGAAAGAAGCTCTCAGAAAAGTGCACACATAGAAGAGCCACTTTACGGTCTTTCCTCAGTTTTCTCAGATCAGCCTGATTTAGTCTATGATTGTGCAGACCAGGAGACTGAGCCAAGGGACAAAAGGAAGATAATCGTCACACAAAGAAAATGCGCAAGACCTTGCCAAGGGAGAAATTGCTCTAAATAATAACAAGGCTATTAGCAAGTGCAGGGTGGGAGGGGGAGCAGAAAAAGAAAAGATGTCACATGTGAATATAAAAACAAAAGCTGACAAGTAATTCCACCCAGTTTGCCAAGGCGCCTGCCAAAAATGTCCCCCAGGAAAAGGGCCATGTGCTCCATGACACCCTTCACAGTGATGTTCACATAAAGCACAGAACATTCTGTCTGGCCACAAAACACAACAAATATCATCAATATCTCGCCGCATAGCAGTTGTGCGCCACCTACCATAGGCGGTCTCCTGGTGCTCCAGTTCTCTTCTCAGTCTGTCGTAATCTTCTTTAACACTTCCCAGCTTTTTGACATTTCTGGAACTCAACACCAACAGCTTGCTGAGGAGTCCCTCCAGCCCTTCTCTCTCTGATGTTAATGATCTAATCTCCTCGGTGAGGTCCTTAGCTGTACAGAAATGGTTTCCTACAGCACATTGTGGGAGAAAAGGAGGGAAAACAAGCTTTACAGCATCCACACACGGAAGATCTGGCAGCAGCTAACGTACATTCACAGCATGGGCAAAGAAACTGAACTTGGAGATTATGTACAACTTCCTCGGCAGTCCTCTGGGGAAAGAACCTGGAAAAGCACTGCCCTCCCTAAACTGGAAAAAAAAAAAAAAAAAAAAAAAACACCAGTCTTTTTATCACCTTATTCTTGTTATGTCCATTTTAGGAGTTCAATTGGCTAAGCCGTGTCCTGTGAAATATGATGACACAAAAATGTCCCAGTGGAATCCAGAGAAACCACAATGTGTTACTCTATTCAAATAATATACAAATGTCAAAGAGATGACATATCATAGTAGGGTGGAAGGGGACTGGGCCACCTAATTAGAGTGGACCTAAATTAAATTCCTAGCTCCCCTGTTACTCAAATTGCATGACCTGGAGCAAAGACATTAGAACACCTGGGGCAAATTGCTTATAAAATATGATTGCAATAATACCTGAATCATAGGTAGTTACAAAAATAAACAAGAAATTCTGTAAAGCACTGAGCAAAATATATGGCATGTTAAATGTAGCAAGGTTGCAGGATACAAGGCCAATATACAAAAATCAATCTTATGCCTAAATATCAACAACAAAAAACTGGAAGATGACTTTCTAAAAAAATACAATTTACAAGATGTTTTAAAACTCAAAATGTTGAGGAGTACTTTTTTAAAATACGTGCAAGAGCTCTACAGTGAGAACTACTTTTTTCAAAAACTGCTGAGAGAAATTGAAGACAAATATTTTAAAAGATACACTATATGCATACAGTGGAAGTTCAATATTGGTAAGATTTCAATTTTCCCCACATTGATTCACTGATTTAATACAATTCCAATCAAAATTTTATGAGGTCCTTTTGTAGAAATCTATTAGCTTATTCTAAAATGTTGAAGAGTGAGCCAGGCATGGTGGCTCATACCTGTAATCCCAGCATTTTGAGAGGCTGAGGTGGGTGGATCCCTTGAGGTCAGGAGCTCAAGACCAGACCGGCTAACGTGGTGAAACTCTACCTCTACTAAAAATATAAAAATTAGCCAGGCACAGCAGGACACACCTGTAATCCCAGCTACTCTGGAGGCTGAGGCAAGAGAATCACTTAAATGCGGGAGGCGGAGATTGCAGTAAGCCATGATCCCACCACTGCACTTCAGCCTGGGCAACAGAGTGAGACTCCTTCTCAAAATAAATAAATAAAATAAAATGTAGAAGAATGAGCCCATGAGTCTGAGGCTGTAGTACACTATGACTGCACTTTTGAATAGCCACTGCACTCTGACTGGGCAACATAGCAAGGCCCAATCCCGAAGAAGAAGAGAAAGAAGGAGGAGGAGGAGAAGGAGGCTGAGAAGGAGGAGGAGGAAGAAGGAGGAGAAGGAGAAGGAGAAGGAGGAAGATGAGGGAGGAGAAGGAGGGAGGAGGAGGGAGGAGGAGGAGGAAAAAGACGGAGGGAGGAGAAGGAAAAGGAAGAAGAAGAAGAGGAGGAGGAAGAGGAAGCAGCAGCAGCAGCAGCAGCAACAAAGGCCTACGTAAACCAAAGCAATCCTTAAAAAGTTAGTCTTGATTTCAAGACTAATGCTAAAGCCACTATAAATCAAGATAATATGGCACTGCATATAGATAGAGAAATAGATCAATGGAATAACAGTCCAGGAGTGGATTTATATATATATAGCCAACCAAAGTGCCAAAGCAGGTCAATGAGGAAAAGAAAGTATTTTTAATAAATGGTGCTGGAACAACTAGCTATCTACATGGGAAAAATATTAACCTTGATTCATACCTCAAACCATACACAAAATTTAATTAAAGATGGATCACAGACCTAAATGTAGAAGTTAAAACTATAAAGCTTCTACATAAAGAAAATAAAAGAAAATTTTATTGAATTTGGAGTAGGTAGGAACTTCAGATAAGATACAGAAAACAGTAACTATTTTAAAAAGAATAAAAAGAATAAAATGTAAAAGTTCTCCTCATCAAAAGACACCACTAAAAAATGAGATAAGAAGTCACATGCTTGGAGAAAATCACTGCAATATGTTTAACTGACAAAGGACTTGAATATTACAGCCTGACAATTAAAACACAAATGGTGCCACTGAAAAACAGGCAAGTGACTTAATAGGCATTTTACAAAGTAAGATGCACAAATGGCCAATGAATATATGAAAAAGCATTTGGCATCATTAATCATTAGGAAAAGAAAAATTAAAACCATAGAGATTCCACTACAAGCCCATTCAAATGTTTCAAATTAACTGGACTAAAAATGTCAACATTCACAAGGATATGGAGCAACTGGAACTCTCACCATGTAAAATGGTCCCTTCAAGAAAAGTTCTGCCAGTTTCTCATGAAGTTAAATGTACACCTACCCTTTAATCCAATAATTCTACTTCTAGGCATTTACAGAAAAGAAATGAAAACACATAGTCAAAAATATTTGCACTCAAATAAATGTTCATAGTGACTTTATGCCCAAGAGCCAGCCCCAAACTGGAAGCAATCTAATGTCCATCAACAAGAAAATGCAAAAATAATACAACAGCTACACAATGAAAGACTATTCAGCAATAAAAAGAAACAAACTCTTCATATATGTAGCAACACATATGTATCTTTACAAAGGATGCAAAGGAATAGTGCCACATGATTCTATTAAGTTCTAGATAAGGCAAAATTAATCCATGATAGAAGATATCAGAGCCGAGGAGGGATGACGATGACTGGGAAGTGACACAGGGTAATGTTTCTTGAGTGATGAAAATGTTCTCTCTCTTGATAGGGCTGTTTGTAACACAGGAGATGTCGAAATTCAAGAACTGTATACTTAAGACCTCTGCATTTCATTGAATGTAAATCACACCTCAATTAAAAAGAGGAAAAATTATGAAATTTTTAAGCATGAGCACTGAACAATAAATTAATAAATATATAACATTAATGAGTACCCCATAAATTAGTGTTATTAGAAAACCCCACTATGTTGTCTAAGAATTTATAGTAACCATAATCACAATAATAGCTACAAACTTTCTCAACTTTAAATGTCATCACAAGTTTAGGAGACAGGTTATGTCTTATATTATTATCATATATTTTTTTTTACATTTTAACATCTCTGAAACAGGGACGTGTCCTACAATTGCTATCAGCCAGGAAGCAGTCAGGAAATAGTCAGAGCAATCCAGGTTATAATTGGATTGTTTTCCCAGCTCTGGCTGACCATCTGCAACCACCTGGTGTTTCAATGTGTAAACCATTTTAGGACCATTTGCATCCTGGCTGTTGCCTGAAAATCTTCTGTTGATGTGGATTTGTAAGACTGGAAAATCACCAGCATTTAAAACTTGAAGAAAGGTGTTAGCAGTTTGGCAAACAATACTACAGAAAACAGTTCACTCTTGGGGGAGAAAAAGTTGCCTCCCACAACTTCAATTGTTCAGAGGATGATGATGTGTGGAGAAACATGAACCTTGACAACATTGAGACCGAATGTGTTTCAGAAGACCCAGGCTGAATAGGAAGATGCCTAGGACAACCTTAACCAATTTTCCTTTTTAATGAGTGATACGTGATTTTTCAAAAGCCTAACTACATCTGAAAGAGCTATTTCAGTAAGTACAAGATAAAAATTCTAAACCATAGAAAGCACTGTTACTGTTTAGTTGACAATAATTTTTCTTTCTTTGTAATATATAGAACAATGGTGCTTTTTTTTTTAAGATGGAGTTTTGCTCTGTCGCCAGGCTGGAGTGCAATGGTACAACCTTAGCTCACTGCAACGTCCGCCTCCTGGGTTCAAGTGATTCTCCTGCCTCAGCCTCCCAAGTAATTGGGACTACAAGCACCTGCCACCACGCCCAGCTAATTTTTTGTATTTTAGTAAGACAGGGTTTCACCATGTTGGCCAGGATGGCTTGATCGTCTGACCTTGTGATCCACCGGCCTCCACCTCCCAAAGTGCTGGGATTACAGGTGTGAGCCACTGCGCCCGGCCAGTGCTTTTTATGTTCACTGAAATTCATACTATTATCTGTTTTCACAGCTGGGAAAACAGCAATCTGGAGAGCTATCCTGCTGAAGGTCACAGTACAGTAAACCATGCGGCAAGCTTCTGACTCAAACTTCACCCTAGAACCCCTCCTCTTAAACACAAATTATGCTGCTAACTTCTTTATTGTTACTTAGCAGGCAGATTTCAGGCTGATACAAATATTGAAAATGTTACAAAATGTTTTCCCTCCTCAAAGGCATTCTGAAACCTAGCACAAATCATCTGTCACCAAAGTCCATAGTTTCCAATGCCATGATTGGATAAACATCCTATTGAGACTCATTTGTTTGTCTGTCACTGTTTTAAGCAACATGGTAAACACGAATGAGAACAAGTACTGCTCCTGCTCTCCAGGAAGTTACCATACAATAACGGGAGAAGGTGCCTTCCAGAGAATAAGCAAATACTAGGAGAGGGCAGAGGACAAGAGAGATTATTCCAGAAGGAGAAACTGAGGCAGATTTCAGGAGGGAAGAATATAAAGAGTCCCAAAAGAAGAAATAGGAACTCTAGTTAGAGAGCAATGGGCAGGGGGTAGGAGGTGAGACTAAACTTATGAGGAAGTTGCTTCAAAACAGCAGCGCCCAAAATGCCAAGCTGATGGGTTGGGCCCATTTAGGAAAAACCCACAAAGTCCACATGAGAGCAGACTGCACTTCTATGTGCTTCAAGTTGTAAACAGAAACACAACTAAAACCTTTCCTGAATTGGTAATTTCCGTACTGAACAATGGCCAAGTCAGGGAATCTGAGGATCAAGCCCCCTACCGCATGCCACAAAGAACCTCAAGGGACCCCATGTTCTGGGGAGCTTGCATGATTGCTTTGGGGCAGGGTGACCACATATACAATGTTGTACCTTCCAAT